AATTGATATCCCTCATTTTGTATTTTCTCAAACAACCTAATTTAAAAAATATCCAAACCATCCTTCAATAATTTTTTTATTTGTTACACTATGTTGGTCTCTTACATTGTTTTTGGTTTGTTATAATATTTTGCTCATCACAATGAAAATATAATAAAGCCTACTTTAGGACACTATAAATTATCTAAATAGATTTTTAATCTCAATCAAATTAACTATAAATTTTAAAATATAATATTATAATGTTTATTAGCAATACAATCCAAGAGACATAATGTTTATTTTGCTCGCCACTTGTAGTTTTTTCCTATAACATTTTACTACTAATTCCATCCATACGTTACATGCATGATTAAAAAAAGGATGTTATATTTCAATTTTCATTACTACTATCAATATAAATATAATAAAAATATATAATATTAAAATTAAAATATGTTAATTTACTAAACAAAATTGATAGGATTTCCGCCTGTATACATATACAATACTTTTAACATATGTACATAATTATAATGTCTAAATAAAAGAAAACTCAAGTATAACATATCCAAAATTTATACATACAAAATATCCATAGGTCATCATCTGCATTTATAATATATAGTGAGTAATCACTTAAGTATAAGCTTTTACATATTTATTCAAGTAAGCATGTATCATATTATGTATATCATATTTTAAAATCATCGTCATAAAATAATTAATAATAAATACCTCATCTTATGTTTTTTTAACAGGTATAACCCTACAACATACTATCAAAATTAAGAGATAAGATTCTATCTCGAAATAACTCAGAATGCTTATATCCATAGAAAAATTGATAAATTTATTAACTTCTATGCCCTATATTAAACATATGCATGTACTCTCACATCATATGTCATTATAATATATATGTGCATTCTCATACTGTATATCATAATATATATATATATATATGTGTACTCCTATACCGCACGTTATAATATATATGTGCACTCTCATACTATATATTATGATACATACATATAGTCTCACATCGTAAGTCATAACATATATGTATATTGTATGTCGTAACATATTCATGCACTCCCATATCGTATATCATAAAAAATAGGTACACTCTCATACTGCATGTCATCATATATGTATATATATAATATATTTTCATTATAATTCATATATTTTTATACTTAAAAAATATATATATATTCATATTTAGCTCATTCTTAACTCATGACGTTCAAAACATACTTTCCAAAATATATTATGTATACGATAATTTATATGACCTCTATTTTATGGTAAATTAAACTTATACATATTTGATTGAATTCAAAAATGAAGATGTCAAAGAAAATCATATTTCTTAATGATCGAGTTTGTTGGGGAGAGATACACCTATCAAATTAAGAGCATAATGTCACGAATGGTTGTCGCGCACTCGCAACAACCTCGTTCAACGAACCGTTCATCGCTTTTGCATACTTATACAGAGATATGGTAGCCTATTTTGCCTTAGTTTTATATGTTTTTTTGCTTATAAAAATGCATGTTCGAACATGTTGCAATACTGTAGTGTGACCGCTCATCGCATTGGGTCAAACTACACCAAAATAGCTCCGTTTTTACATGCCACGACTTGTTTTCTGCAATCTGCAGCTGCACATCAAAATGTTAGCTATATCAGTTCCCTGGAACCCCTTGAGTGGCACAAGGTTGGATAGAGCTTCGATATATTGTCGAGTATTGAACAATTTTCACAAGTTCGCACGTTTTCTTGATGAGAACTTGCCTTCGTGCCCGGCACCCGGTGAGTAGTTGTTTATAGAATTGCAATTGTTTGTTCTACCTTCTAAAGTCCTTATTTTCCTCCTTCCCCTCTTTTCTCTTATGCACGCAAGGTGCTCGCTGAATTTCTTATAAAGTTTCTCTTTCCACGAGACATCGGGACTTGTCCATCGCTCGTTTTTGAACTAATCAACTTTCTCTTTTACAGGTCCTTCGGGACCTGAGTGAGGTTGTAAATTGGCTAATCCTTTACGGACACATATCACAAGGGCACGTCATGACTTAGGTAATCCCTGTTAAGTTCGAGAAGTTAGCGCGAGGGTGTTTCGTGACTTAGGTAACTCAAGCTAAGTTTGCGTCTTTGCCGCAAGGGTGCCTCACGACTTAGGCAATTCTAGTTAAGTCTGTGACATTGTGGTATTAGAGCGGGTAAGAAATTTGAGCAAGTAGCGAAGGAACTTCATAATCTT